AGTATATCTCTTTAAATAAAATACTCATTCTAAAGAGAATCTTTGCAATTCTATACTGAAATTTAATTGTGTACTAACTATTATAAGCCAATTAAAACGTAAGATAAATTTTTTAAAAAAACTTCAAATTCAACGCATACTGTTTTTAATAGAATGATTTGTAAAATGAGTATAATTTTGACACAAAATTGATATAATTAGAACTGTTTAAAATTAAAAATAGTATTACTAATAATTTAACTGTGAAATTAGCTTACAAAAAATTGACAAAAAAAGTGTTTTCACAAAGCATTTATAAGCTATTGTTATTCTTTCATATCAGGAAATTTCGATATCATTAGAACTGGTATATTTTTCATTGTTTTTGTTGTTGTGTTGCTAATGCCACCTGTCTGACGTAGTCAGATCGAGGTCCATTAAATTCCTCATGGCAACGGGCTGGATTGTAAGCCTGTTGTTAGCCGTAGCTTTGAGCACTATGCAGGTGACAGTACGATTTTTTGGCCCCTTTTCCCCAATTTTGAGGGAGAACACCATGGGGGGTCAGGGGTCTCCCGTCTCTCTTCTCCTTCCACCAACCTCACAAAAGAACATTCGGCTTGACAGCTATTTAGAGTACCCCCATCCGGCGGAGGCACTATACATTTACAAGAAGCATCCATGCCTTCTCCGGGATTCAAACCCAGGCCCTACGGTACAGCAGTCAGCCATTAACCACTATACCGGATGGGTAACATCAATGTTTTTATTGTACAGTAATACCTTGGCTTACGCTATCCCGATTACACGATTTATGAGTTACGCGATTTTCAAATCTTGCCGATTTGTCTTTTTTGGAGCACTACCCATACACAACTCGATTACTCACTCCCCGCTTCAAATAAATTTAGAAGTGGGTAGTGATAGCGCTCAAGAATTACTGGATTACCACAATCAGGAGCTGACAAGCTCATGAAATGCATGAGCAAAACAAGACATTGAAAATTGTGAGTCTTTAGATACAGTTCAATCAGAAGATCGAATGACATGGGAATTCGACAGAAGGCCTCAGGTTAATTGAAAAAGGTATATAATTTTAGAAAATGTATGCTTAAATGAAGAACGTATTTTTTCAACAAAAGAAGGGAATAAAAAAAATTATTAGCATTCTACCAGGAAATTTTGCGGGGAAAAAAGAAGAAATCATTGAACCGGATGTTAGATTTCATGAAACTTCCATATCAAATATAACTTCGGCTTGAGATTTTGTAATTGTGTTTCTAAGATTTTTTTAAACATTTTTTATGAATTATAATGTTCTTTCTTCTCCAGCCCGTACTAAAATATATTTATGTATTTTTAAAAGCGAAATTATACCTCGACTTACGCGGTTATCACTCAGTTCCCACCTATTGCGTGAGTTCGTTATTGTTTAAGGCTACTTGGTTCCCCAAAAATGACAGACATATCGTTTTTTTCATTTTTATATTCTCTTATTCCTTGCATTATTATCTTTCGATTGATATATCACTTGTGCATGTCGGAAAGTTAGAAGTTTAAAAATAAATTAGGTAATTCAGCCACTCCTCCTTTTTAGAAAAAAAAACTAAAAAAAACGTTTTCATAAAACAATCTATTTTATAAAGAGAAATAATAACATTTAAAAAAGAATGTGTAATATATAAAGCAAAATTATTACCAGGCAATAATACAATCTTTTTTTTTTCTTTTGTGAAATGTGTGCATGTAAAATTTTAATTAAGGATTTTAATAACAATTTTATAATTTCATTCTTATTCCTGATATTTTTTTCATACAAATTTAATACTTAAAAATTTATAAGAAAAAAAAAAAACAAAATTTCTGTTTGACAGAAAAAAATTTTAACACTTTTCTTGAATTTCTAGGAATTAATATCTCAAAAAACTGATCTTTATAAAAATGTATGGGTTGAAAAATATGAAAAAGCGATTTTTTTAAAAAAGAAAATTTTAATTTTTTAAATTTATTTAGCTTATTATAATTTTTTTTTCAAATTATAAACTTTAAAGTGGTTTTTCTTTTGTGTTTTTCGAAAATTAGTGTATTCAAAGCTACTCCTTCCACAAATTTTTTACCAATTCATTTTTTTCTTGCGGTTATATTAAAACATGTAGGGAAATCTGGATCCCTTTTGTGTAAACCGATAAAATTTTTTAAAAAAATTAAAAAGTAAGAATATTGCCTTTTTCGTTGATTTTAGCATGCATATCAACACTATATTTTTTCACCTTAAAAACAAATTAAGTTATTGTAAAATCGATCCCTAAAGTTATTTAGAACATCCATAAGAATATTATAAAAATTTGGTCAAAAAATTAATATTTCCAATAGAGTAAGATTTTAAACTTTTCCAAATTTTCTGCAAAAAATTAAAATTTTTAAAATTGTGTGAATATGTGAAAAATTTCATCTTGTATTATTTTCTTGAATAGAAACATTATACAAAATGCTAAAATATAGTTTTTAAATACATAAATAAAGTTGTTCAAATGGTACGAAGTCTTCTTAATGTAACAAAACCAACATAGAAACAGCGACATCTACTGAACATTTCTAGAAACAATCAGTTGAGGTGTGCTGTCGAATCTTGTGCACCGACAATGATATGAATCTACGTATGTTCCCGATAAGTAATTTAGTTGAAAACCTAGATATATTATATTTCCAATAAATGTTTTTTCATTCACTTTCTGAATGTTAAATTTCTTAAATGTTTTGTTCTTGTGTATTTAAATGTTCTATTAAAAGCTTTAACCAAAAATGTTTGGCGTCCGACTGTTTCCCATTATAATTAAATTTTGTCTAACATAAATAGTATAAAATTGTATTTTAATTAATAAATATTTTTTTTAAAAAAAAGCAGAATAATCTACATCAAAATACAAGGGCATTTTTTTTTTCTTTTTCTGTAGATCATTCTGATGCTATACATAAAAAAAGCGTGTTAATTAAATCACAAAATCAAATGAAGTATTTTTTAAAGGAAAAGAAATCGCAATATGAGTTTTTCAGCAAAATAAATACAAAGTATTTTCTATGCATTATTCATTTCAAAAATTTAAACATAATACACACAAAAATTCTAATTTATATTTTCTTATAGCATTTGAACTAAGAAAAAATTGAATTATGCCAATTTCTATTATGCTCCAAATATCAATCATTTCTATGATTTATACGGTCAGAAATGGTCATAAATCATCTCTTATCTGAATTAACCCATTGAGGAAACATTCCCCTTTTTGCACAAAACTACTGTGAAGATTGCATAATTTCCTTTTCTAAGAAATAAGTTCAAGCTACATAAGAGACAACATTCGTCCCACAATTACGTAATTGTACATACTGTACTTAACGTTTGTTTATAAATATATCTAAATTTCATTTGTTTTTTTAACATTTTAGGTATGACAATAAAAGTGCTAAAGTTGTTTTTTTTCAAATTCAAATATATATAATTATAATAATAAGCTAGAAACCACTGCATGATGATCATGTAACATAATAAATTAAATAATTTGATTTCATTTTCTTTTAAAATTTTTTGTTAATACTACGCATCATGATCGAAACTCTCAAAAAGTCAGGCATAAACACGTACAATGTAAGAAAAATTAATTTAATTTTTTACACAAATATTATTGTCCAGGAACTATGTAATAAAATATTTACAATGAAAAATATCTTTTGCTTTTATAAGATAGTAAAATTAAAATATAATAATTATGTCAGTAAATTTTTCAATCTGAAATTGAATCTATATATATATATATATATCTTGTTCAAAATTTCAATCGTTAATAAAATACTTTCAATTCAACCATTCAAGTTCAAATACCTTTTTTTAAACTTGTAGTGGATGACACTTGATGTTAATACAGTTTTTTCAAATATTAATTCATTAACTTAATTTAACTAATGAATAAATAATTACAAACAAAAATAATAGTCTAACACCATATATAAAAGGAAAATAGCTCATTTAATTGTTTCCCAAAATTTTAGCACGGGTTTTTAAACTGGGGCGCCTTGGGGGGTGATAACCTACGAGGGGGCGAGCCTATTGGCGAAAACAAAAGGTTTTTTAAAAAAATTTTAAACGAAAGAAAAAAACAAAAGATTTTATTTTTAAAATACTTTTTTACACTATAAATAACTTAAAATTATGCAAAATATATATTTTTTTTAAATTTTAGTACTTTTAAGAGAAGTTTGATAAACGTGATCCATGGGCTTGTATTAATACTTATCTTGATATATTGTACAGTTTAAAATTAATTTCCCCAATGCAGATTTTTCGCGTTTCGCCCCCAAGACACTTTTTTTCATAGACGACGTTTTTTATGTTTTTTTTAATGGGAAAGGGGGGAGAAAAAAAAATAAATAAGAAACTCGGAAAAAAGTAAATCCCTTTGCAAACACGCCGGCTTTTATTGCATTCCCCCTTTAAAATTTTTTTGGATAGAACTGCTCAGAAAAGATCTATTTTGGAAAGGTTATATAGCCAGAAAATTAATGTTTTGGGGGTAAATTTATATACGGGTTAAAAAAAAAGAGGTTAAAGTCGTATTGAGTTTAGGGCGTGTAGTATTTTTAAACCAAACAATTTTTGTATAAGGGGGGCATGGATGATTGAATAGTGGGTCCGGGATATTTAAAGTTTGAGAAGCACTGCTGTACAGGAACTATGTAATAAAATATTTACAATGAAAATTATCTTTTGCTCTTATAGGATAGTAAAATTAAAATATAATATAATTATGTCAGTAAGTTTTTCAATCTGAAATTGAATCTTTATATCTTTTTCAAATTTTCAATCATCTATCCAAGTTCAAATACATTTTTTAAACTTTTAGTGGATGACACTTGGTGTTAATATAGATTTTTCAAATATTAATTCATTAATTTAATTTAATTAATGAATAAATATTACAAAAAAATAGCCCAAACCATATATAAAAAGGAAAATAGCTCGTTGTGTGTCTGTAGCACAATGGATAGTGCATTGGACTTCCGTTCCTAAGGGCGTGAGTTCGAGCCTCACCTGGTATGGTCTAATTTCTGAGAATGTGATTTCTTTTCTATTATTCAATTTTGTTAGAATAATTAAATTTTATTAATGAATAAATAGTAACAAACAAACAAAAAATAGTCCAACACCCTATATAGAAAAAAAAATAAAAAACTGCAAGGCAAATAACTTTTTTATTTTGTCACTCAATATTGTGATTCTGTCTCATACGTTTATACATATTAATATTAATTGTAACTATTTAATAAAAAGGAACTAAAATAAAAGATTTCTTTGTGGACCTAAGTAGGAATTTGTGGCGGTGTGATATCTAAATAAACTAGTAACAACATATCACGCGAAGACGATCATTTTGGCGTGATTGGTTACGTACTCGCGTTCGGAACGGAAGGTATTCAGAACGAACCTTCCTTCCTTCATTGGTGACCCTGGCCGTGCAAAGGAACCGCACCCTTCACGTTCCGCAGTCGTGGTGCCATCTATCCACCGCAGCAGCAACTTAACCGTCAAACATTGACGCATATAAGCCGTTACTTCTCAAAGTCGTGTCACACAAATGACGTAATCAAACCGTCACACACATGACACAATTCTCAAAGCCGTCACACACATGACACAATTCTCAAAGCCGTCTCGCACGAATGACACAACCCACCAAGTGACGCAACTGCATAGATGCTCGCCACGAATATAGTATCGTTCATTCGCCTATTCGCCGAAACACTGGCAGGGGAGTATGTGGCGGTGTGATATCTAAATGAACTATATAGTACCAACATCACGCGAAGACGATCGTTTTGGCGTGATTGGTTACGTACTCCCGTTCGGAACGGAAGGTACTCAGAACGAACCTTCCTTCCTTCAAATTGATTAAAAAACTTTTTTTATATTACTTGTTTTTTTAATTTTATTGAATACAGCAATCCTTTGACTTTACAAAACATATATTGTTTTATTTCTACATTGCATAAAGCAGAGGGACAACAAATTACAAAAGATCAGAGTCTTTAATCTACCGAAATTGGGTATTTAAATTGTGCAAAATCTATCTCATAATTCAAAATATCATACATGTAATTCTATGAAACTTTTTGAACCTGATATTTATACTCTTTTCTAGGGAAAATGTACTAAAATAATTTTTATTGTGTGAATATTTCTGAGTTATGGCCTGTTATTTCAAAAATAGTTTCATAAATCTGTCACGTTTTTTATAATATATATTCGATCTCTAAATTTTTCATATTTCGACAAAACATAAAACATTTAGTATGTTCCCTAAATAAATATACGTAGTTCATTTTAGTAATACTTTTATACTAAAATACGTATATTATTTTTTTTTTATTTAAATCACTGGTTTAGAGTTTTTTTATTAAAAATTAGTAAAATATCACTTTTAATTTTGATTTTCGTAAAGTTTAGGTAATTTGTTTTAAATATTACCGATTAAAAATTAACACATATTGGTATTGATTCCTATAACAATATTTATGTTTTAGAGTTTGTTAATTTTAAAAAAGTACTATAAACATGTTAAGATACTTTAACACAGTACTCCCCAACCTTTTTACCGGTCAACGTTTGATAATTTGACCACGGCCCGCTGAAAGTAGGAAGTTGATTGTTTATATTTCATATCAATGCTTCTCAAACTTTCAGTATTTGTGACCCAATTTTCAATCAAAATCTTTATCGCTCCCCTCCCCATACAATAACTACGAATTGAATGCAAAGCTAAGGCTACAATACGATCTTAATTACAAGCGGAACAAATTATCAAAATTTTATATGTTCTTTTTATGTAACAGATATTTTAAGTATTTTACATTAAGCAATTGGACAAGTGTTATGTTACTTTTCCATTTTAAAGTTCAAATTTGAGCAGATTAATTTTGAATTCAATTAAGTATTTATTTCACCAATCATCTATTTTTATAAGTATAAATGTCAGTAGAAAAATAGGCTAATCTCTGTTGCTTTTTATTTACTTCTTCTGTGCAACTTCTATACTACTGTGGCCATGGTAGCTGATTGGTATAGGTATAGGATCGTGGCTTGCCTTGTCACGAGTTCGAGTCCAGTACTACTAAAGACCCGCCGTGTAGGGCAGCGATGCACGTTAAATCTGTCGAGAACTGAAACGTCCTCCCATTGGTGTGGTAGTTAGGAGATGCGGGTGCCAGCTCAGGTGTCATCCACGTCACTTGACCATGGTTCAAAATTACGTGGTCCGTCGCCAAAAGCCCTCGTGTAGCTGTGCAGTGCGACGTTAATATTCAATCAATCAATCTGTACTACTGCCTTCCTTTGAAAAAAATTTTGCTCTGCAAAACAAGCCCATGGGAGTCACCATTAATTATAAAATTGTTCTTCATTTAGTTTTGATAAATTATCACAAACATTGTGAATTACTGATACATTTATAAGTATATAAGTCGGGTATACGTGTATTTTTTTTATTATTATGTCAGAATTTCTTGTTTTGCTTCCTTTCAGTAAATTAATATTTTTTTAAATCTTTTGATTTCGATTTTTCGATAGGCTGGCACCCCTCCCCCCAGGGAGAGCCCCCCACAGTTTGAGGAACGCTGTTTTAGATAGTTTTGATTAAAGTAATTTTAATTTAATTGTATTTAAGTATGCTTTCAGAATAAAATAAGTTACATCAAAAAATCAACATAAAGTTATTTCCAAGGAAAATTGCACAAACTCGAGAGAAATTCGCTACAGCAAATAGAACGGAAATAATTTAATTTTCCTTGTTCGTCCCGGTTCCATTTAATACATGGACTATTACCAGTCCGCTGTCCGGTGTTGGGGTCCACAACACAAAAGGAAAAGTAAATTCTGGGGCAAGTAAGTATTTAATTGTCTTGCAATAAATTTAAGAAGCATGAATAATCAGCTATCGATAAACCAGCAACAATATGTTACAAAAACCAATATTTTCGAATAAGAAATAAATTTATAAGAGAACTCTTCTATTACACACAAAATTTATTTAATACTACAATACTTTTCATAATGAATATTTTTTATGATTCATGATTAGTTTTCCTTGAAAAATAATTAACGCAAAACGTTTGTTGATATAACGTCTTGATTAAGCTCCCTGAAGCGAATTTAATTACTGAATGATTACAAAGAGAATAAAAAACAGAGAAAGTAACTCACAAATTTTTATATTAAAAGCTCCTGAGAGTTTAAACATTGTTGAACAATGTATTTCAAACTTTTTACTTACGAATACTGAGATGTGCAAAAAGAGCTTTAAAATACAAAATTTATTATTGAAATTAACATAAAAATGTAAAAGACCTTTAAAGTTAAGTTACGTAAAACTTCCAATGGGGGATCTTTCTTAAAAACAATTTTAAAAAACTGTATATTTACTTTACGTATATACTGATGCCTAGTTTAATTTCAGTTATTTAAAACAAAATTCAAAAAATGAAATATTTAAAAATATTTATTTCCCTAGGTAACGTAACAGTAAGGAATAAACCGCAATTATGGAAAATTTTACCGATACTTTAAAAAGGGAAAAATTAGCAAAATTTTATTGAAAAAGTTTTACCGTAATTTTTATTTCAAAATAATTTTAAAAGAATACTTGTATGTAGAAAAGAGATGAAAATAGAGACTTGTATGCAGGTATTTGTAGCAGGCTTGTAGGTAATTCTCTATCAATTTTTCATATAATATACTTAAATATATTGAATTTCATATGGCTTCTGAGTCAGATTAGACAAGAACAAACCTTTAAAGGCTATGTGGAAAATTTGAGATTAGTTATATCGTATGCGTTTTTTACGGGTAAAATAATCTCAAATTTAATTAATTAATTTCAATTAATTTTCGAATAATTTTATCTATCACTTGGTGTTATGAAACTACTTATAAATCTTATTTAGTACTAAAAGGCTAATATTATATTCGCAAAAATATGTTAATAAATATTGAAGCTTTTTGCAATGTTGCCTTCTGTATTATTTTTTTTAAAAAAAAATGGTGTTTGTAAAAAAAAATTATGCTAAATATTTAAGCTTAAAAAAACTGGGTATACTAGAAAAAATCCTGCAAAATCATTTTAAAAACAGCATTAAAAATATTCAATTAGGTCTGCGCAATAAAACAAATATAGAAATATATAATTATGATGTTTTTTTTAAAAAAAACTCTCCAACACTTTAGTAAGTCCTTATTGATTTTCTTATAAAATAATATATATATACCGTAAAATCCGGCGTATAACGCGCACTTTGAACATAAAAATAAGATCGAAAATTAAGAGTGCGCGTTATACGCCGGGTATAAAAACGACAGCTTTAAAAATAACAAAATGGATGGACATAAAAAAATATTTACTTCTAGATGTATCGATACACTGTTTATTTAAAAGAAACAACTAGCCTTATGAACAAGAACAGTTGTAGTTCTAGAAGTATACTACTTTTTCAAAAGTCTGGGGTAATACCTTGATTAAATTACTTCAAAACATAGGAACAATGTATATTAATATTTCAGATTTCTTCGTTAAAAAGGGGGTGCGCGTTATACGGCGAATATACTTAAAATTAAAAAAATTAGCTTGAAAGTATAGGTGCGCGTTATACATCGGTGCGCGTTATACGCCGGATTTTACGGTATATATATATATATATATATATTTACATTATTATCTCTCTTTTTTATATATACTCAAAATAAATGAGACATTTGTAAAATTCTTTGTAATCACACATATAAGTCATAATTGACTAAAAATATCAAACATGAAAAATCTATTGATTTATCATACATAAAAGACAAAATATAATGACAAAACTTTGATTTTTAATACTATTTTGTATAGAAGGAGGAAATGAGCATTTTATCTCTGATAAAAGTTAACAAAACAGCTAGAAGATGAAAAAGTCTTCGGTCAAACTATAGCGACAGGCACTCTGACCTTGATACGAGACGTGACAGAAGTTCAAATGAAAATATTATCTCTATGAGGACAGTAGCCCCTCTC